CCATTCACAAATTCAGAGCTTGTACTCATACTCCAAGCATGCAAATCACAATTGCATGCTTCCACCCAACACACGCAATGATACGCAGATTTGCAACTCAAATTAGTTGACGCAACAAGCAGTTAGCAACACTCTTTTCCCCCGTAGTGCGGTTAATATAGATGCTGGCGACGAGACCACACACTAGAAGGTGAAGGGACGACGACGTTTCGGTCCGTCCTGGACCATTCTCAAGTCGTTTGTCGACTTGAGAATGGTCCAGGACGGACCGAAACGTCGTCGTCCCTTCACCTTCTAGTGTGTGGTCTGGTCAACATACTTTAGCCACGTTATTGTGACTCATCGCCTGCTTGTAGATGGTGGCCCCTGTCCTCTCACTTAACACGTCGTATTAGTTACGGAATCGACCCGTCTGTATCACTGACGTTGTCTACGCATTGCTCTTTGCGATCCGTTCTCGTGCTATGCTTACCTATCCCCCAGCCGACCCTAGCCTGGCCTCGAGCCGGGCTTGGGGAGTAGAAGAACTTCCAGAACACCATCAACCAGGTATCAAGCAGGTATCAACCCCTTCAAGCAGGTACCGCGGTGACACTAAAGCCCCAAAATCATCTCAAGATAACATGGATTTCGAGCGGGAAGATCGTGCCTCTCACAGCTACTTGATCACTACAACAAAGTCACTGAGGCATTAGAAGAAAAACAGAATGCTGATGTGATATACACGGACTTCGCACAGGCTTTCGATAAATGTGACCATGGAGTGATAGCACTCAAAATGAAATCAATGGGAATAACCGGTAAAGTAGGACTTTAGGTTCGAATCTTCGTCACGGCTCTTGTGGATTTGTAAACACACTGTTTGATGATGGAGGCGGGTCCCATAAGCCTCTCACAGGTGCTGGTCTTGTGTGTACACACGTGGCGTCTTGACAGAGGCAGGTGTTTGACGGGCGTGATTATCTAAAAAGAGAGGTGGGTGGGGGGCGGTGCAAATTATTGATCGCTCGCACCTGCTGGACTCGTGGTGTTGTGGTGAGAGAAGTCCTGCACGCTGGGAACTCGTTAGCGCGGTGTTGGTGGTGTACGGGGGTGAGTCTACCTCCCATCTACCTCTCTGGTACACGTCCCTGGTGTTGGTGGTGTACGGGGGTGAGTCTACCTCCCATCTACCCCTCTGGTACACGTCCCTGGTGTTGGTGGTGTACGGGGGTGAGTCTACCTCCCATCTACCCCTCTGGTACACGTCCCTGGTGTTGGTGGTGTACGGGGGTGAGTCTACCTCCCATCTACCCCTCTGGTACACGTCCCTGGTGTTGGTGGTGTACGGGGGTGAGTCTACCTCCCATCTACCCCTCTGGTACACGTCCCTGGTGTTGGTGGTGTACGGGGGTGAGTCTACCTCCCATCTATCCCTCTGGTACACGTCCCTGGTGTTGGTGGTGTACGGGGGTGAGTCTACCTCCCATCTACCCCTCTGGTACACGTCCCTGGTGTTGGTGGTGTACGGGGGTGAGTCTACCTCCCATCTGCCCCCTCTGGTACACGTCCCTGGTGTTTGTGCTGTACGGGGGTGAGTCTACCTCCCATCTACCCCCTCTGGTACACGTCCCTGGTGTTGGTGGTGTACGGGGGTGAGTCTACCTCCCATCTACCCCCTCTGGTACACGTCCCTGGTGTTGGTGGTGTACGGGGGTGAGTCTACCTCCCATCTACCCCGTCGTACTCGCCCAACGTTGTAAATTATATATTAAATAATTGGGATTCAGCACGGAACTGGCTTTGTAATTTCGTAAATTCCTCCCCCCTTGGTCCATGACCTTTCTTGGATGATGGCTTGCTCCGCCGTCCCCACAAGGCACTGGTCGAGGCTCGTGATGATCCTGTTCTGGTCAGAGAATAGGGCGCGTGCTAAGAGGGAAGGGGAAAGCGCCAAGCCGACTATATAGCACTGGGAAGGGGTGAGGATAAGGATTTGGGATGGGACGGGGGGAAAGGAATGGTTCCATTCTCTATGGAGTGTCCCCTGCTGGCTAATAGGCCAGAGGTGTGTGTGTGTGTGTGTGTGTGTGTGTGTGTGTGTGTGTGTGTGTGTGTGTGTGTGTGTGTGTGAAGTTGATTACAGTGTTTTATTGATGCTATGTTTTGATGTGGCTGCTGATTACATTGTTGTCATGTCGCAGGAGGAATTGGTATCAAAGTCAATTAACACTGAATACCGTGTTTTCCGTGCATGTGTGTGTGTGTGTGTGTGTGTGTGTGTGTGTGTGTGTGTGTGGTCTCTATATTGTATGAGGAATACGTTTTGGAGGTTCACTTAAAAATCTGGATTGTAATTACACACATAAATTACAATAACGTGATGCATCAAATGAACAAATCCACAAGGGCCGTGACGAAGATTCGAACCTGCGTCCGAGAGCATCCCAGACGCTGCCTTAATCGACTGAGCTACGACATGGTAAAAGAGTTGAAACCGAAGTTCTACTGAACTTACTGG